CAGACCCCCCAAACCACCTCCAGATCCCCCAAACCCCTCCCAACACCCCCAAACCCCTTCCAGCCCCTCTTAATCCCCCTCCAGACCCCCCCAAAACTCCCTCCAGACCCCTCAAACCCCTCCCAGCCCCCCCCAATCCCCCTCCAGATCCCCCAAACCCCTCCAGACCCCCCCAATCCCCTCCAGACCCCCCAAACCCCTCCAGACCCCCCAAACCCCTCCCAACACCCCCAAACCCTCCCAGCCCCTCTAATCCCCTCCAGACCCCTCTAATCCCCTCCAGACTCCCCAAACCCCTCACTGAGCTCCCCCAAGCCCCTTCCAGCCCCTCTAACCCACATCTAGACCCCCTAAACCCCCTCCAGACCCCCCTCAAACCCCTCCCAGCCCCCCCAATCCCCTCCAGACCCCCTAAAACCCCCTCCAGGCCTCCCTCAAATCCCCTCCCTGAACCCCCACAAGCCCCTCCAGACCCCCAACCTCCTCCCAGCTCCCTCCACTGCTCCCAAAATCGCTCCCCAGCCCCCCATATCCCCTCCTCCGTCTCCTTCCACTCCTCAAAATTATTCTCAGTCCCTCCCAGAAATGCCTTTAACCCCCTCTTATGTCCCCTCCATTGCCCCAAAATCCTCCCAGCCCCCAAAACCCCTCCCAGCCCCTCTCCACCACCCCAAAATCAGTCCAAGCCTCCTCCAAACCCTCTTCAACCTCCCTTCTCCCTCAAATCCCCCCTCCCCTCACCGGGCCCTCCTGCCCTCTCTTCCCCAACCTCTTATCCTCCCACCGGCCTGTTCTTCCAGGGACCCCAAAATGGCCACAGGGACCCCAAATTGGCCACAGGGACACCGAATGTCGGCTCAGGGACTCCAAAATGGCCACAGGGACTCCAAAATTGAGCCAGGGACTCAGCGATGGCAGGGACTCCAAATGGGCTAGGGACTTCAAAATGGGCTTTGCCACCCAGAATTAGCTCCAGGGACCCCAATCAGCCATAGGGATCCCAAAATCAACCACAGGCACTCCTAAAATCGGCTCCAGGGACCCCAAAATTGGCCACAGGGACCCTGAAATCGGCCACTGAGGACTGAGGTTAGGACATCCCAAAATGGGCTTTGGTACCCCAAAATCAGCTCCAGGCACCCCAAAATCGGCTCAGGCACTCCCAAAATGGCCCTTGGCACCCCAAAATCAACTCAGGCACCCCAAAATCGGCTCCAGGGACCCCAAAATGGACCTTGGCACCCCAAAATCGGCTCCAGGCCCCCAAAATTGGGTGCCCCCTCCTCCACTAACCTTTCTTGACCGTGTTGGTCTCCAGGGTTTCAGTCCTAGCTTGGCCCGGAGTTTACTGGAAGGGAAACAAGGGATGAGGGGGCCTGAGGGGATCCAGGGGATTTTGAGGTGAGACCTTTGGGGCACCCAAGGGTGGGGGAGGGGTTGGGGGGGTCTCACTTTGTTTCTTCCACGCTCAGGAGGATTCGGCTGCCGTGGGTTTGGGGAGGCTGGGGAGCAGTTAATGGGTATTGCTAATTAATTAATCATAATTAGCCCCAAAGATATCAGAACAGCCAAAAATCAACCCCCAAAACCCCTCCCTGCAGCCCAAAACCACCCCCCAAGTGCGTCGTAACCACACTAAAATTGTTCTCAGGGTCCCCAAAATCCCCCACGTCCATCTAAACCCCTAAACCCCTCCCAGCCCCAAACCCCCTCCTGAGCTCCCAAGCCCCTCCCAGCCCTCTAACCACATCTAGACCCCTACAAACCCTCTCCCTGACCCCCTCAAACCCCTCCCAGCCCCCAATCCCCTTCCAGGACCCCCAAAACCCCTCCAGACCCCCTCAAACCCTCCCGACCCCCACAAGCCCTCCCAGCCCCTCTAATCCCATTCAGACCCCCAAACACCTCCAGATCCCCAAGCCCCTCCCAACACCCCCAAGCCCCTTCCAGCCTCTAATCCCCCTCAGACCCCCAAAACCTCCTCCAGACCCCTCAAACCCTCCCACCCAACCCACTCTCCAGATCCCTCCAAACCCCTCCAGACCCCCAATCCTCAGACCCCCCAAACCCCTCCAGACCCCCCCAAACCCCTCCCAACACCCCCAAACCCTCCCAGCCCCTCTAATCCCCTCCAGACCCCCCAATCCCCCTCCAGACCCCCCAAACCCCTCACTGAGCCCCCAAGCTGGCCCTCTAACCCACATCTAGACCCCCCAAACCCCTCAGACCCCTCGAAGCCCCTCCCAGCCCCCAATCCCCCTCCAGACCCCCTAAAACCCCTCCAGACCCCTCAAATCCCTCCCTGAACCCCACAAGCCCCTTCCAGACCCCTCTAATCCCCCTCCCAGCTCCCTCCATCTTCCTCCAAAATCGCTCCCAGCCCCCCATATCCCCTTCCGTCTCCTTCCACTCCCTCAAAATTATTCTCAGTCCCTCCCAGAAATGCCTTTAACCCCCTCTTATGTCCCTCCATTGCCCCAAAATCCTCCCAGTCCCCCAAAACCCCCTCCCAGCTCCCTCCACCACCCCAAAATCAGTCCAAGCCTCCTCCAGACCCTTTTCAACCCCCTTCTCCCTCAACACCCCCCTCCCCTCACCGGGCTCCTCCCGCTCCTCTTTCCTGTCCCTCTTGGCCCTCCTGTCGGGCTCCGTTCTGTCCCCCCGGCCATGGCCTCCTCCCCTGCCCGCCGCTTCCTCAGCTGCTCCGCCGCGCCGGGAGGAGGAGCCGGAGCCTCCCCCGGAGCCTCCCCCGGAGCCGCCGCGCTCGCCCCGCGAGCGGCTGCGCTTCCCGCGCCGCTCCCCGCCGCGGTGCCGGTGCTTGCGGTGCTCGCGGGGCCGCCCCGCTCCGCTCCCGCTTCCACCACCGCTCCCACCGCTCCCCGCGGCCGCTCCCGGAGCCTCCTCGGCCGCCTCGGCCCCGCCGCGCTCCCGGTGCTTCTTCGAGGCGCCCATGGCGGAGCCGCCGCTTCCGGGAGGCCTGAGGGGACTTCCGGGCGGTTGTCACGGCAACGCTTCCGGGATAACGGGAGGAACTTCCGGGCGGTTGCCACGGCAACGCTTCCGGGATAACGGGAGGGACTTCCGGGTGGTTACCACGGCAACGCTTCCGGGATAACGGGGAGAGTGATTGGCTGAGGGAGGGTGGGAGATGAACCATTGCTCGCCGGAAGGGGTGGGGGGACAAACACGCGAGGAATCCCCGCGGGGTTTTGTCCCACAGTAGACAGATGGAAACCCCCAAAAAGCGGCAGGTTGTGGGTGTGTCGTCCCCCCCCCGTGCGAGGGGGAAGCGGCTTTCAGTGAGGAGGCCTCGCGCGCGCCGCCGAGGCGGGGGGAGGTCCGTAAATGGCAACTCCCCCCCCCACCGGGTGGAGCAACAAGATGGCGGCGCCCAGAGAGAGTGAATGGGGACTTTGGGACACAACAAGATGGCGGCCGCTTGAGGGGAGGGGGGGCAACAAAATGGCGGCCGCTTGGGGTGCAACAAAATGGCGGCGCAACGGGGGGGACCCCAAATAGGACGCCGACGGCGAGACCCCTCCCTCGGGGGGAGAAGAGCAAAGACCCCCAAAATTGGAGTCTCTCAGAGCCACGAGTGGGGCGGACAGTCCTAAATCCGCCCCCCGAGGTTCCGCTTCCCCACCGGTAAAGCCGGGGCGGGTCCGACCCCCCCCCGTCTCGTGGCCTTTGATCCGCCCGGCCCGGGCGCCTCAGCGGCGCCGGGGGCGGGGCTGGGGGCGTGGTCTTGGGCGTGGCAACCGTAAATTGGGCGTGGCCTTCCCGAGGTATAAAAGGCAGCGCCCCCTCCCCGCCCCCCCCACTCCTGTCACGAGCAACGAGGTGTGGTAACAAGAATTTAATAACGCTTTGAGGGGATTTTTTTTTTGGGGGAGTCCGGGGGTCTCTTGCGGTCTCTATGAGAGTATTGGGGTTCCAGGGGCGGATTTGGATGCCGGCGAGGGGTTTGCGACAACCCCCAGGGCGTTTTGGGGTGTCCAAGGGGGGCCCCGGGAAGATGCTGAGGGGTCCAGGAGGCCTTTGAAGGTTTTTGGGGGGTTCAGGGGAGTTTGGGGGTTCTCAGAGCTCTCTTAAAAATCTTGGGAGTGCCCGGGGCAATGTCCAGGGAGGGATCTTGGATAGTGGGGAGGATCCCGCGGCCTCCCGAAGGATCTTGGGGTGCCTTTTGGACGTCTTGAGGTTTTCAAAAGGTTGTGGTGTTTTTTTTAAATATCCGAGTGCAGGGTTCGAAACTCCTCTGCGAGTTTTTGGGTCCCCGAGGGGTTTCGGGACCCCCCAAACCCTCCTGGGGTGCCCTGGGGGGAAATTACCTCAGGCTCCCCCTCCCATGCGAGTTTTTGGGTTCCTGAGGGGGATCAGAACCCCCCAAACCTTCCTGGGGTGCCCAGGGGGGCTGTTTTACCTCAGACTCTCCCTCATCCCCTTCCCCATTTCCCTGTTTCCCCCCTCATCCCCCTCCCCATTTCCCTGTGAGTTTTTGGGTGCCGGGGGGGCTGTTTTACCTCAGACTCTCCCTCATCCCCCTCCCCATTTCCCTGTGAGTTTTTGGGTGCTCGGGGGGCTGTTTTACCTCAGATTCCCTTCATCCCCCTCCCCATTTCCCTGTTTCCCCCCTCATCCCCCTCCCCATTTCCCTGTGAGTTTTTGGGTGCCCGGGGGGGCTGTTTTACCTCAGACTCCCCCTCATTTCCCTCCCCATTTCCCTGTTTCCCCCCTCATCTCCCTCCCCATTTCCCTGTGAGTTTTTGGGTGCTGGGGGGGGCTGTTTTACCTCAGACTCCCCCTCACCCCCTCCCCATTTCCCTCTCTCCCCCTCAGATGGAGCCCCCATCCCTTGTGAGTTTTTGGGTGCCTGGGGGATGTTTTACCTCAGATTCCCCTCATCCCCCTCCCCATTTCCCTGTGAGTTTTTGGGTGCTGGGGGGGCTGTTTTACCTCAGACTCTCCCTCATCCCCTTCCCCATTTCCCTCTCCCCCCTCAGATGGACCCCCCGTCCCCTCCCCGGGACCTGGAGCTGTCGGCGCTGGAGGCCGAGAAGGAGCCGATGGCGGCCCCGGCCGAGCCCGAGGAAGATTCAGGGGGACCCCAGCCCCCAGCCCCACTGGGACCCGTGCCCACCCCAGCTCCGCGGGGGGGGCGAGAAGAACGGGCTGGTGGTGAAGATCCCCCCCGAGGAGGAGGAGGAGGGCGAGGAGGAGGCGGCGGCGGCGCTCGGGGGGGGCGGCGCCGGCTCCGGGGGAGCTTCGGGGACCCCCAAATTCACGGGGCTGGGCAAGGAGGAGCTGCTGAGGGAGGCGGGGACCCCGCCCTGGGCCCGGGCCCGCAGGGTGCTGCTCGTGCTGTTTTGGGGGGGCTGGCTGGGCATGCTGGGGGCAGCGGCCGCCATCGTGGCCCAGGCCCCCCGCTGCCAACCCCTGCCCCCCAAAACGTGGTGGGAGATCGGGGCCCTCTACAGGGCACCCCCGAAAGCCTTCGGGGGAGACCTCAAAGGTGAGGGGGCTGGGGAGGGGGGTTTGGGGGAGTTTGGGGGTCCGTGGGAGGGATTGGGGGAGTTTGGGGGTCCATGGGAGGGGTCAAATGGGGGAGTTTGAGGGTCCGCTAGGAGGAGTTGGGGGAGCAGTCCATGGGAGGGCCGTGGGGGGAGTTTAGGGGTGGTTGAGGGGGGAAAACTTGAGGGTCCCTAGAGGATTTGGGGGAGCAGTTGGGGGCAGCGAGGGGGTTTGGGGGTTGGGGGGGCAAATTGAGGGTCCCCACAGAGGATTTGGAGGAGCAGTTGGGGGCGTGGCGAGGGAGTTTAGGGCAGTTTGGGGATGGTTGAGGGGGGGAAAACTTGAGGGTCCCTGTAGAGGATTTGGGGGAGCAGCCGGGGTGGGGTTGGAGGGTCCTTTAGGGGTCCCTGAGAGGGGGTTGGGGGTCTTGAGGATCCCCATAGAGGATTTGGGGGAGCAGCCGGGGGAGGGGGGTTGAGGGGAGTTTTGGGGTGCCTGTAGAGGATTTGGGGAAGCAGCTGGTTTGGAGTTGGTTTTGGGATCCATTGGAGGGACTCGGGGTTGGATTGGGTGTCTGTTAAAAGGGTTGGGGTCCACTGGAGGGATTTGAATGGTGTTTTGGGGTCCCTGGGGGGGATTGGGGTTTTGGGGTCCCTTGGGGGTCTATTTTGAGGTCCCTGGGGGGAGTTGGGGTCACTGGAGGGGTTTTGGGGTCCCTTGGGGGGGTGTTTTGGGATCCCTGGGGGGTTTGGGGACCTCAGGGGGATTTTGAGCTCCCCGTGAAGATTTTTGGGGTGTCCCCGTGGGGTGAAATTTGGGGTTCCCTTTCCCCCCCAGGTGTGGTTGAACACCTGGAACACCTGGAGGAGCTGCAGGTGGGGGGGCTGGTGCTGGGCCCTGTGTACCCCCCCAAGCCGGAGGACCCCCAGAATCCCGGGAAACCCCAATTCCCAGAGCTGGGGGACCTGGACCCCGAGCTGGGCACCCTCGAGGACTTCGAGAGGCTTCTCAAAGCTGCCAAGAAAAAAGGTGGGGCAGGGACCCTGAAACTGTGGAGACCCCAAAGTGGGAGAGACCCCAAAAACTGAGATTCCAAAGTGGGGGAGACCCCAAAAGCGGGAGACCAAAACTGGAATCCCAAAACTGTGGAGACCCCAAAGTGGGAGAAACCCCAAAAACTGAGATTCCATTGTGGGGGAGACCCCAAAACTGAGATTCCAAAGTGGGGGAGACCCCAAAAGCGGGAGACCAAAACTGGAATCCCAAAACTGTGGAGACCCCAAAGTGGGAGAAACCCCAAAAACTGAGATTCCATTGTGGGGGAGACCCCAAAAGTGTGAGACCAAAACTGGAATCCCAAAACTGTGGAGACCCCAAAGTGGGGGAGACCCCAAAAGTGGGAACCTGAAACTGGGATCCCAAAACTCTTGAGACCCCAAAGTGGGGGAGACCCCAAAGTGGGGCAGACCCCAAAAGTGGAAACCTAAAAAGGAGGAGACCCAAAACTGGGACCCCAAAACGGGGACCCAAAAAGGGGCAGACCCAAAAGTGGGACCCCAAAACTGTGGAGGGCCCAAAGTGGGGGAGATCCCAAAAGTGGGAGCCCAAAAAGGGGCAGACCCCAAAACTGTGGAGACCCCAAAGTGGGGGAGATCCCAAAAGTGGGAGCCCAAAATGGGGGAGACCCAAAAGTGGGACCCCTAAAATTGGGCAGACCCAAAAGTGGGACCCCAAAATGGGGACTTAAAAAGGAGCAGACCCAAAAGTGAGACCCCAAAACTGTGGAGACCCCATAGTGGGGCAGACCCAAAAGTGGGGTCTTAAAGTGGGGGAGACCCCAAAAGGGGGAAGACCCAAAAGTGGGACCTCCAGGGGGGTTTTGGGGGGGTCCTGACCCCCTTTTTTCACCCCCCCAGGAGTGCAGGTGATCGTGGACCTGACCCCCAACCCCGGGGGGGATCCCGTGTGGGGGGATTGGGCCACGGACCCCGTGGTGCACCAGAGGGTCAAGGTGGGTCTGGGGGGGCTTTGGGGGTCATGGGGGAAGGGAGGGGCGTTTTGGGGGAGTTATGGGGAGATGGGGGTCAGGGGTTATTGGGGAGCTGGAAGGTGGGGGTTGGAGGGGTTGGGATTATGGGGAGGAGTTGCAGGTTAAGGAGGGGTTGGGGTTCAGGGGGTTATGGGGAGGGGTTGAGGGTTATGAGGGTGGTTAGGGGGTTTGTGGGGTGAAGGGGGTGGGTTCAGAAGAGTTTGAGGGGGTTAGGGGCTATGGGGGGTTAGGAGGTGTTTGGGGTTTGGGGGTTTTGGGGGGTTGGATGGGGTTGGGGTTCAGGGGATTATGGGGAGGTTGAGCGTTATGAGGGTGGTTGGGGCAGTTATGGGGGGTGTTGGGGGTGGAGGGTGTTGGGGTTCAGAAGAGTTTGGGGTTTGGGGTTTATGGGGGTTGGAGGGGTTTAGGGTTGGGGGCTTTTGGAGGGTTGGAGGGCGCTGAGTGTTCAGGGGGTTGTGGGGGGTTGGGGATGGAGGGGGTTGGGGTTGGGGAGTTTGGAGGGGCTCGGGTTCAGGAGGATTATGGGGGGCTATGGGGGCAGGGGGTTATGGGGGGTCTGTGGGGAGGGAGTGGTGGTCGAGGGGTGGGAGTTAGAGGGGGTGGGGGCAAGGGGTGTTCATGGGGGGCAGGTTTCTGGGGTGACAACGCTGGTTTGGAGGGGTAAGGGCAGTTTTGGGGTGTTATTGGGGCTTATAGGGGAGAGGCATGGAGCCTCTCTGAACCCCACCCTGTTTCCCCTTCACCCCCAGGATGCTCTGAGCCTGTGGCTGGAACGTGGAGCTTCTGGAATCTTCCTGGATGGCATCGATGAGCTGGAGGTGGGGAAGGTTGGGGGTTGGGTTGGGGATTTAGGGGTCTCTGAGGGCAGAAGGCTGGGGATTTGGGGGTTGGGACATTGGGGGTGGGGTTGGGGTTTTGGAGGTTGGGGGATTGGGTTGGGGGGGTTCAGGGGGTCTCTCTGAGGGCAGAAATTGGGACTGGGGAAAATTTGGGGTTCGGATTGGGGGAGTTGGAGGTTGGGGTTTGGATTGGGGAGTTTTTGGGGTCTCTCTGAGGGCAGAAATTGGGGCTAGGGAGGATTTGGGGTTTGGATTGGGGTTGGGGTGTTGGGGTTTGGATTGGGGGAATTTTTGGGGGCTCTCTGAGGGCAGAAATCGGGGTTGGGGGGGTTGGAGGGAGGGGAGAGGTTTGGGAGTCTCTCTGAGGGCACAAATTGGGGCTGGGGGGGATTTGGGGTTGGAGTTTGGGGTTGGGTGCTGGGGGGTCTCTGTGGGGGTAGAATTGGGGTGTTGGTGGTTTTGGGGGCATCAGTGGGATTTAGGGAGTCCTTGGGGGAGGGGCTGTGCGTAGGAATGAGGGGCTGGGGGGGTCTTTAAGTGTTTAGGAGGAAAGGATTTGGGGTGACCCCCCCGTGTTCCCCCCTCAGCTGCCAGTGGTGACCAAGTGGAGGAACCTGACGGAGGATTCAGGACCTGGGGGACCCTCCAGGTCTGATTTCCCCCCCCAAAAACCCCCCCTTGACCTCCCCCCAAAATCCTTCCCGATCCCTCTCTCACCCCCCGCCCCCAAACTCACTGACACCCTCCTGAAACTCCTGATTTTGGGGTGCTGGGGGAGGGGGCACCCAGGTGTGGGACCCCCCCCTCCCCAAATTTATATGCTCTTTCTCCTCAGGGGGTGGGGGTGGGATCCTTGGTTCTGCCCCCCTCTCCCTTTTTGGGGTGCTGGGGGGGATTTTTAGGGTGCTGAGGTGGTTTTTAGGGTGCTGGGGGGGACACTTCTGACTTTTCTCATTTTTAGGGTGCTGGGGTTGTTTTTGGGGTGCTGGGGGTGATTTTGGGGTTCTGGGGGCTCCCCTGACCATGTCCCCCTGTTTTAGGGTGCTGGTGGGTGGTTTTGGGGTTTCTGGGGGTGGTTTTGGGGGGATTTTTGGGGTTCTGGGACCCCCCTGACCGTGCCCCCCTGTTTTAGGGTGCTGGTGGGTGGTTTTGGGGTTTCTGGGGGTGGTTTTGGGTGATTTTGGGGGTATTTTTGGGGTTCTGGGGGCCCCCTGACCTTGCCCTCTCATTTCAGGGTGCTGGTGGGTGACTTTGGAGTTTCTGGGGTTGCTTTTGGGGGTATTTTTGGGGTTCTGGGGGCCCCCCCGACCCTGTTCCCCTGTTTTAGGGTGCTGGTGGGTGGTTTTGGAGTTTTTGGGGGTGGTTTTGGGGGGTATTTTGGGGTTCTGGGACCCCCTGACCGTGCCCCCTGTTCCAGGGTGCTGGTGGGTGGTTTTGGGGTTTCTGGGGTGGTTTGGGTGGTTTGGGGTATTTTGGGGTTCTGGGCCCCCCCTAACCGTGTCCCCCCCTTTCCAGGGTGCTGGTGGGTGGTTTTGGGGTTTCTGGGGGTGATTTTGGGGGTATTTTTGGGATTCTGGGCCCCCCTGACCCTGTCCCCCTGTTTTAGGGTGCTGGTGGGTGGTTTTGGGGTTTCTGGGGTGGCTTTTGGGGGTATTTTTGGGGTTCTGGGACCCCCCTGACCCTTTCCCCTTGTTTTAGGGTGCTGGTGGGGGGCACCCGCCTGCGGGACCCTCAGGAGGTTCTGAACAGGACGGGGGGGCTGGGGCTGCTCGTGGGGCCCTTCCTGAAGGTGGTGGAGACCAACCTGCCTGGGGACAGCATGGCCAGGGAGCTGAAGGAGCTGCTGAGCCCCAAAACCGGCCTGGGATGGACTGTGAGTGACCCCAAAACCCTCCTTGAAACCCCTAAATCCTCCTGAGCCCCAAAACTGGCCTGGGCTGGACTGTGAGTGACCCTAAACCGTCCTGAGACCCCAAAACCTTCCCTGGGACCCCTGAGCCCCAAAATCCTCCTGAACCCCAGAACCAGCCTGGGCTGGACTGTGAGTGACCCCAAACCTCCCTGAGACCCCAAACCCCCCTGAAACTCCAAAACCCTTCCTGAGATCCCTGAGCCCCAAAACTGACCTAGGATGGACTGTGAGTGACCCCAAAACCCCCCTGAGATCCCTGAACCCCAAAACCTTCCTGAGCCTCAAAACTGGCTTGGGTTGGACCGTGAGTGACCCCAAAACCCCCCTGAGACCCCAAAACCCCTCTGAGACCCCAAAACACTCCCTGAGACCCCAAAACCCTCCTGAAACCCCAAAAACTTCTGTGAGACCGCAAAACCCTCCTGAGACCCCAGAACACTCCGTGAGACCCCAAAACCCCTCTGAGACCCCCAAACCCCCCACAGACCTCCCAGTTCCTCCTCCCTCCATGACACCAAGACCCCCCAGATAAATTTTTTGGGGCCCACCAGCCCCACCCCATAAACCACCTGGGACCCCCAAATCCCCCAAAATCCTCTCCACTTCCCTGAGCTTTTTTTTTTTTTTGGGGTCCCATCCCAGATTTTGGGGAAGGGGGTGGTCCCAGAAGTGACTGAGCCCCCTGTCCCTGTGCAGATTGGGACCCCCTGGGAGGCCTGGGAGCCCCTGAGGACCCCCAACTGCTGCTGCTGGTCTGGGGGCTCCCCGGGACCCCGTGCTGAGCTACGGGGACGAGGTGGGGCTGCAGCGACCCCGGCAGCAAGGTGGGATTTGGGGAGATTTGGGGATTTTGGGGGAGCTGGGGAGATTTGGGGAATTGGGGGATTTGGGTGGGATATTGGAGATTTAGGGGGATATTGGGGATTTGGGGGGGGCATTTGGGGGCCTGGGGGTGGTTTTGGGGTGTGAGGGGGCTGGGGAAGAATATTGGGGGATTTGGGGGGCTGGTGTTGATTTTGGGGGTTGTGGGAGGATGGGAGGAGATTTGGGGGTTCAGAGGAGGATTTAGGGGGCTCTGGAGGTGGTTTGGGGGGTTCTGCAGACGGGATTTTGGGGGTCTTTAGAGGTGGTTTTGGGGTTTTGGGGGGGTCTGTGGAGGTGGTTTTGGGGGGTCTGTAG